CACCATGCCAGCTGTTTACACAAGACAAGAGCCTGTAGGGACAGGGGTACCATGACATGGCACAGGGCAGGCACATAACATGAATAATTAGCAAATGAATGGATACTGAAATCTTCCCAAGTGGAATCGAATTAACACATAATTGTGAGTATAGAGGGAGCAAGTGTAAGAGTATGGGGTGTAGGGGCTGGTACATGGTGCTGTTGTGTCTCCATCCACCCACCATGTAGGTGAACCTGCTGTGTCCATTTAACCCCTATGCCTGGAAGCTACAGTGCCAAGCTAAGCCAGAGGGAGCAGTTTTTTCCCTTTCATCCTTTGAAGGGGGGGTGTGTGTGTGTGTGTGCATCTCTGGGAGGGAGAAAGGACCGACTACAATTTAGATGACAGGAAACTAAAAGTTACCTTTTGAACACAGGTATTCCTTGTGTCATTCCCTGCTCTTACTCCAAAAAGATGCACCCAGGTAAGCACTGTGGCTGGGAGGCTGGGAATTGGAAGAAGGGGGAGAGCAGTGAAGGCAGGGACTATCAGTCAGCCATAACCAGTGCATGCCAAAAATGTATGTGCGTGTGTGTTTGTATGAAGGCGGTAGTAGGGATCCACAATGAAGACAAGCCCTTATATTCTGTAAAACATGTTCCAGTTTAAGAAACACGCTTACTCATGTTTCTTAACAGGGCAGGAGCTTCTCCCACTGCACACTCCAGGCCCAAGGGAGCTAGGGGTTATGCTCAGGGCAAGGTCGTGGAGGTGCGGCTGGGTCGGAATCCAGAATCCAGCTCTTGGGAGCTGTGCCATTGGCTTCCCTCGAAATGAACAAAAGACCGTCCTAGCCTTTAAGAAGTAGCAGGTGATCCCCACCAATGGGGCACTTCAGAACACGCAGGACCACTCAGGTGGGTGCTACAGAAGGAGCCCACCGGACCCACAGCTGGGCAGCCTGGATGGCCCCCATGTGGATTTCCTGCAGGAGGGCAACACACAGCTGCACCAGGGAGATTTCCAAGTGGCAGGAGGCAGGAGCAAAGGCCAAGAGCTGAGAACAGAAGGTCATAAACAGGAGACAAAACACAGCTCTGAGAGACTGAGCAGAGATTGGCCCGAGATACCCGGGGCGTGACAGGGGCAGAGGACAGATGGGGAGGTTGGCAGGGTGGCTGGCACGGAGGTAGAAGCAAGAATCAGGTGAATGACAGGGTCGGCCATTATGGAGCAGCTCCAGGCTGACAGAGTTGGGACCCATACCTCCTGACAGGCGCCACTCCACCCAGGACTCAGCCAGCCCTTGAGCACACAGGGACACACCGCTGAATCTTACATTGACTTCCAATATGTATCTTTGCTGAGAGAATGAATGAATGATTGCCAGACAAGTGACGGGCAAGTGACCACGTCTGAGAGGCCCTCTTGGGGTAGGGGTGTGGGCACGAAATCCTTAGCGCCAGGGAGAAGATAGGTTGTTTTTACTGCAGAACCAAATGACCAAAGCTGCTGCTTTTTTTCCCTTCCTTTCCCACAGGTCCGAAGGTACGAAAGTTCCTCCAATGTTCTCCCCTTTTTCCTCCCCACTGTAATGTCCTCCAGATCTCCAGCCTCCTTCCTAGACCCTCAGGGAGCGGCCACCACTTCCCCCAAATGAAAAGAAGGGAGCAGGCTCAGGCATCAGCCCTGTGGGGGAGGGGGCAGCGCTGCACTCCTCCACCCTCTGCTGGCTGCAGCCTTCTTGGCGTTCTCTCCTCTGTTTTCCCATCTGTCTCTCTCCTTTCCTCACGTCCCCTCCCTGCCCTAGCAGCCCATCCTCTCTCCTGCTGCTTCCCCGCCTGTTCTATGCTTTTCTGCTTTCCTGGCTACCCCCACAGCCTCGCTGGATGGCTGGCTTGCTCCCAAACTCCAAGCACACTATGGGGCCCCTAGGACCTACTCCTGCCAGAGAAAGGAGACTGCCTCTCCTCCACCTCTTCTCACCCACTGGCAGACTCAGTTCTTAGGCCTGGGTCTGGGTGCCAACCCCCAAACAAAAGAGCCATAAGCGGAGAGGCAGGTGGGGTGGAAGTGGCTGTTTCCAGGCACCACTGAGCCTGGATGGGGCAGGGGCTGCTCTACCATGGTCACAGGAAAGCACCCAGCCCTGGAGCCTGCCTCTTCCCCACTGGTACCAAGCCCTAATCAAGCCCTAGGAGGCAGAAGGAGACTGGGGAGGTATCCAGCCTGGACAGTGGGAGCATAGCCTCACTCTGCTTCACAAGGCCCCAGACCCCCAGTCCCCTATCACAGAAGCAAGGTGGTGTCTCTTGCCTTGCTGCCCCCTGGGCTTGTGGCAAGAGGAAAAAAAAAAAAAAAAAAAAAAACCTCCTCTGGCCTTGGGGCTTCAGGAATGATTCCAGCCAAGATGGAAGGTTAAACCACACTTTTTCCAGGCCTCTTCTGGCTGAGGCAGAAAAGCTTTTACTTTACTTTCTATTCTTCCTGATTTCTTGGGTCTGGCATCCACTCAGGAACAGGTATGAGCTCACACATACTCATGTACACAGAACTATGCACTCCATGCACGTATCTGTGTACATAGCAAGCCTGAATATGAACCCACCCACACAAGTGTACACAAACATAGCTATTTTATATAAATATGGCACACACCCTGTACACACACACACACACACACACACACCATAAAAATAATACATACATCCTCACCTTGCCACCTCCTACCCTCCGTGTCCTCTCATCCTCCAACCGTCCTCCTTCTCCTCCTCAGCTCTTTCATCTCCCCTGACCCAGCCTCCTGTCTCCCCCTGCCCCTGGCCTTCAAAGAGCTCTTCTGTAGCCTCCTCCAGCCTCACCCTTGCTCCTAAGTACAATGAGCCTGCAGTTCCTAGCACGGCAAAGCCTCTAATCACTCTGCCAGGGTTCCTGGGTGAGAGAAAGGAGAAGATGAAATAATTCTGCTTCTTAGTTGCAAATAAAGTAAATTGAGGTCCAGGGAGTGGGAGTCATATCTCGGCTCAAAGAATAGAAACCAATAAATCTAGGTTGCTCCCCTTTTATCTGCTCAGTGTTCTGGCCTCACCAAGACAAAAGGCATAGGACATGCTACCCATGTCCCCAGCCCTCCACCGCAACTCCTTGGGTGCCTAGGAGTCCTGAGTCCCCCGGGGAAGTGGAGTGAGGTAGAGTTTATCTCAGGTAAGCTTAGCCCTGACCTCAGACTCTGACATTGTTCATTTGACTTTCCACAGGGGCACTGCCACTGTGGGGGGCATGGCCATCCTCCAGGTCACTGCGGGCCACCCCCCGGCCACGGCCCAGGGCCCTGACATTGTTCATTTGACTTTCCACAGGGGCACTGCCACTGTGGGGGGCATGGCCATCCTCCAGGGCCCTGCGGGCCACCCCCCGGCCATGGCCCAGGGCCCTGCGGGCCTCCCCCTGGCCATGGCCCAGGGCACCCACACCCTGGTCCACATCACTGAGGAAGCTGAAGAAAACAGGACACAAGATGGCAAGCCTGAGAGAATTGCCCAGCTGACCTGGAATGAGGCCTGAACCACAATCTTCTTTTCCTAATAAACAGCCTCCTAGAGGTCACGTTCTATTATTTAAAGAGCCTGTCTTCCTTCATATCCAACCTGGCTGTCAGAGGACCGAGTTGTCTCCAAGCTCCCTAGTTGTGAAGATGGGGCAATCATCCTGGCATTCTCAGAAGCTCAATGCTATGTTGCTCACTATAAATGGCTGTGTAAGGTCACCTCTCCTTTCCTTTTCACTCCTGTCCCCTCCCATCGAGGGACCTCAAGTGTGGCCTCATTACCCCTGTGCCATCCTGCACATCCAGATCTGGTGGGCCTTCCAAGGTTGCAACTTGCATGCCTCACTCTACAGACCAGAGGCCTCCCTCCAATCCAGATGGATTTCTCACCATTCCCTGAAAATACACTGAACTTTCCAGCCTCCTTACCTTTGTTTGCACAGGTAAGGAAGAATGCCCCCACCCCAGGTCAGGAATGCCTTCCCTCTCTCCTACCTCCACATTTCAAAGCCTAGCCTTTCTTCCAAGCCAGCTGAAGTCCACCATCTCCAAGAAGCCTTCTCTAAGGCCTCTTAGGAAGAAAGAGGTCCTTCCTCTTTGCATACTGTCCCCTTCTCTGCAGCAAGCTGCAGAAAAGAGACGGTATCAGTCACTTCATGGGCTTGATCATATCTTGCCTATTGGCACCAATTTATGGGCTGGCCCTTTCTCTCTCCAACCAAGTATAAGCTATTCAGGGCAGACCCAACACTTCTACACGTCTAGATTCTTCCACCCCATTCCTTATGACCTATGTCTTACACAGATTGGCATTGGCACACATTTTTGGGATACCTATAATCCAAGTGTTCCTGACTCTCTGCTCAGCCCCATGTCTTCAACCAAGGCCTCTCCCTGCACAAGTAACCAGACCCTGAACAGCCTGCTTGCCATAAAACCCTTTCCACCTAGTCAAGTCCCACATCCGGGATCCACTCCACTCCCTGCCCCCCCAGGCTTCTCACACTGCCAATATCTATTCTGGTTCTAGACCCCTTAGCCAGGCCTGTCCACAGTCCATCATACCCAAATGTGCTCTACTCACAGCTACTCCCTGGTGGGGGAGGTGGCACTGGAGTCAGTGGCTATTGGGCACCTCCCAGTGCCCTGGAGTTGGTGGCTATTGGGCACCTCCTAGGCTGAGGTGGGGGGACAGGGGTGACTATAAAAAAGGATCTGGGATCATTCAATATACCCTTATAACAAATCTGCACATGTACCCTCTGAATCAAAAATTAACCTTAGCTTACTGTGATTTGTTTGCTTTATAAACCTTTTAAATCTTAAAAAAGAAAGAGAAAGAACTGAGGATGATCTGAGTGCCTCTCTTCTTCCCCCCATCCCCGCTCCACCAGACTCCGCACTTGAATAACGGAGTCAGGGCTCCACATCTGAGGGGTGCACATTCAGGTCCAAGTCGAGGTCCAGAAGAATGGGAAGAAAGACCCAAGCTGATGCCTCGCCCCACGGGGGAGGGGAGGAGAGCGCTGAGCGAGCCGGGAACCTCGCAGGCCTGAAGCCGCCCGCCTCTCGACCCGGGGCGTCCAGCGTGAAGTGCGGGCGTAGAGCTCGCCCTCTATCCGGCTGGAAGGGTCTGCGATTCGATTTGTGAGGATCTCTGCATGAGTCGCGCTCCCTGGTTCCTTACG